AGTAAGTCCTTAACACAATATAGAAGATGTAATCACAAATAATTAATGAAAAATTTGACAAGATTGAAAGTTATGTAATTTCACTAAATTGATGGAATTTTCAAGTTCTGATACTTGTTCAATAAATTAACACCATAACGTTAATCAGAGATAGGTTACTTAATCAAAACCAATACATAGCTTCAGAACAAACAAAAAGTTAATTAACTAAGATCAAGGACATCATGACAATAATATCTAGAGAGAAAAAAAAATCGAATTTATTTATTATTTGTTAGATGTGTATTATCCTGAAAACCTGCTTTATTATTTATTTATTTATTTGAACACATAGACATTGGTACAAGAGGGCACCAAATATATATATGCGCCTCACAAATCTCATTCGATATGTGTGAGGGCTGTGATACTGCCCGGGTGCCCAAACCGAAGCAGGTGGTTTTCTTAGGGGGCCACTCCTCGAGCCTTCGACCTGAAGGTCTGATCCACAAGGCAGTGGAGCATCGTAAGGAGATGCAGTCCCATGGAAGCCGGTGACCAACGATTGGTTCATACGCCATTTGTTTGCGCAGGATACTGGAGCCCATGTGCACCATTGGTTTGGAATCCGGTTAGGGCGTCGGACATTCGCTTTTCGTTCTCTCATTTTCGTAAACAACAGTAATGCCATGAGAAGGCAGTGAGTAGGACTTCCCTGGTAGATACTATATACGCGTGGCCGTGTAAGAGTATTTCGAGAGGGAGGGCGGGTTCACCCTATTCTCGGCCATACCAGGGCATTTAGGGGCTGAAAATCTGCTACTAAATTTGTTACATGTTTTAAATTAAATTCATAGAAATTAAGTTTACTTTTCAGACATATTTTGTGCGTCATTTTCTCTAATCGAATTTCTGAATCAAATAATTTTCAAAAGAACAATTTGTTAATGGATTGACCTTGATTAATATAAGATATCGAATGGGGAGAATTTATAAATTGAATCGGTTTGAACTAATATCCTACATGTATATAATTATCTATTCGTATATTTGAAACATATAAACACTTCAAATGTTTTGACTAAAATTTATTATATTCGTTTCAAGAAGCTGAAATGTTTTATTTAATTTTAATATTTTATAAATCAACTCTGTAAAGAGTGCCAACAACAATGAAACTTGATTTCAGGGCATTCAAACATGTAACAGTAAGTAAAAAGTATCATGAAATCGATTCGCTTAATATGGTAGTCACATGGTAATTTATTAGTTAGAATTATATGATCATTAAAGATTAAACAACATGACAGTAATTATGACTCGTCGATAACTTATTTCTACAAGGTGTTATTCATAACTTAAGTAGAATGATGGCAACACATTAATCTATTATAGTTGATAGAATATGTTTGAGTTTCTTTCCAAGATTAACATTTCCTCAAGAAATGCATATAGAAACCTTTCAATTCCAGGGCTTTCTGCAACTCTCTTCAATCGCATAATATTCCTTCAATTAACAGTATTTAATGTACAAAATAGTATGATGAATACGTGTAAGCCATCATTTTTCTCTATAAGCATAGACTTTTAAGAAACTCTTATTCAGTTAAAAATGTTTGCATTATATATTCTACGTTTTACATGGACCGTAGATTTCTGACTCCTGGTTATTTTTATCAATAATGCAGTCAACATTCTTAATAATTATTCTGAAAACTCACTTGATCTATTTATTAACTAATATATAAAGGTTTATAAGCAAAGATGGATGGTGGATAGCAGTGGAATCCAGGACATGCATTTCGTTCTATTTGGAACTCGTCACCTGGATGTACCTGCATCTCAGAGTTGATGTTCACTTTGCGACTCGTACACAGTACTGCAAGCTTCAAACTCCATCGCGTTATCCATTTAGCTAATGAGTCCAAGAGTGAACATCAACCCTCTGAGATGCAGATACATCCAGATGACTAGTACCAAATAGGACAAAACGCGCGTTCTGGATTCCACTGCTATACTCTATCCATCTCTGCTTATAAAGCTTACGATGTAAAGCAATATCGAGGCAGTTCGCACAGTATGCACATATGTCAACAAGAGACTAGTCAATTTGAGTCCTAAACAACAATGGAAAGATACAAACAAACAACACTAAGTGAATTGAATACAGAAAGGATTAGCATTTATTTTGTGTTTTATCAATGTTAACCAATTATATGCTGCATCATTTAAATTTAATCTAGTCTGGTAAATTGTATTATACAAATAGATTCGGTGAAAATTTTATATATATATATATATATATATATATATATATATATATATCACATTAAGTACTCTCATATAGGCTGCACTGCGTAAATACTAATAATCCTTGATTCTATATTGTATAGGTTTACATTTCTTATTAGTCCCAAAACTAAGAACCAATCAACATCAAGGTCTACAAAACAAGTTGTGAGCTATATGTGGAGAAACTCAACTACTTCACTTCTATCTGGAGTTTATGCTGATGATATCATTCAAAAGAACAATAAAAACTCCAAGATCAAACCCTTCAACTCAGAGAATAAAACTTCATCACCGTTTTCATTTTGTTAGTTTTCTTTCACTGATATTCACAAATGGTCAAAAAACAAACTATCTTCATATATTAAATGATTATTTAAAGTACAAATAAGTAAACTTCATCTTTCATTTTATATTACCTAATAAAAAAACGTTTTGTTTTGGTTGTTAAAATAGGGACTAATAACAACTATGAATTAGCATATTAGTTAGTTACTTAGTTAGTTATTCAATGGAAATATATTTGTCTGATAATATTCAGAAAAAAAGTTGTTTCAATCACATAAGAGAAAGCCGAATATGTAGCTGATAAGCTTTTAGTGTTACTCTCATTTATTTATATTATTACTGATATTTGTTATGTTAAGGATTACACTTTATCTACTATTGTAGTGAACAAGAACACCAGTGGGGACGACCGAGTGTATCTTGCACAAAATTACAGAGTTACTTGTTAAAATAGAAAAACCATATAGTAAATCGTTAATTCGCAAAATATTAATCCATCATATCAAACCGGACTGTTCCTGCTGCAAACATCAATTCATTGTCTCACATTTCATTGTTCATGCGTTTTCTTACAAATTACATTGTGTTCCCGCTCTTCTTTTCTTGATCTTTCCCCATCTTCTGCCGCCAGACATTACGTTTCTAACTCGCATCATATACTACTTATATCAATATAAGTAACACGCACCACACTATTACTTCATATTCATTTATATACAAGCAGTCAGTACTTTTAATTCCAGTGGATTGTGAATGTTTTGACGGTTTTCATAGAGGTACATAAATACACTCAAAGGGAATTCTTACTCACAAACTTATTAACAACAGCATAACAAGGAAATGCTTGAAATTGAATTTCTTTTCTATGTAAAACTATTTATTTGTCAATTATATAAGTAGCTTAACTAATGTCATTCAGCCAATTATTTGAAAAATTTTCATTATATTAGGGTCTATAATAAAAAAACTGAGGGAACATGGAAGTTAAACAAATATTTACACAGATAAAATGTGTCAGTGAATAAGATATAGGTGTCTAAATGACTGAATTTCGGATGATTAGGAGGCTGCTACACTACTCTTTCATTATTTTGCCCAGAATGCAGTCAGTGAAGCTGAAAACAGTGACAAGAAACAAGCAATGCTATATATATCTTTTCTAGATCCTAGGGTTTTACTTAGTCGAATTATTTCCGCATCGAAACTTAGTTCTGTAACCCCATTTGAAACATTATAGAAACTTTCTGTCAACTCTTCTGGTACTTGAGGGATGCTCTGGTACGGCAGATGATGGTAAGAGTCTTCGCTCCCTCTTAAAACACTGTCACATGAATACACTTATACAGCTACTGACAGGGCAGTCCTACTCACTACCTTCTCGCGTGACGGTGTTGTTTACAAAATTGAAAGGAGGTAGAGCGAATGTCCTACGTTCTAACAAGGTTGGTGAATATGGAGTGTCCACCTTGGAGAGTTGGAAAATCCTGATTCCAAACTAATGGCGGATATGGGTTCCAGGATCTTGACGGGACAGATGGCGTATGAACCTATGGTTGTTCACCAGCTAAAGTGGGACAGCATCTTTTGACATTATTCCACTGCCTTATCAATTAGACCTTCAGGTCAAAGGCTCCGGGTGTGCCCCTCTAAGAGAACCATCTGCTTCATTTTGGTCGCCCGGGCAGTACCACAGTTCTCGCCCAAACAAAAAAAAACTACTACAGGTCTCATTGTTATTATGTGATGCATATGTGTTCAGATAAACAAAAAAACTTGAGAAATAAAACTTACTGGTTCCTTAAGTTGACCAGTTGAGACTTAGTAACTACCGTAATGTATTCTCTTAACATATATTTGTAGTTACAGTTTAGGAATTATAGTGAACCGATAAACAACCATTTACACTATATTACTGATAAACCAGTGTATATATTCCAACATATAGATTACTTTAAAAAAATAATAATAAAAACTCCAATTTTGTTTAGCTTATCTATTTCATTTATTTTTTGAAAAAAAAACCAAAACAAATTTACGTCCTTACAAAAAATGTCTAGGCTACAAATTTTTGTCTCCCTGTCTCTATCTATCTCTTTCTCTCTCTCTCTCTCTCTTTACACATCGATCATTAATTTTTGTTTTGGTTACTCATATACATACACATATTTACACATAACATTATAGATTGAACATAAAAATAAAGATGAAAAATAAAAGACATATCTATCTCCACAAAAACCCTTTGTAAACATACCTAATATATTGAGAAATGTTTACAATTCTACAATTCATAAACAGAATAAACTAAATCTATATGCTGTTTGTTATATCATTTTTGTAAACGGATTCCCATAAAGAAACACAGAATAAGTAAACATATATCATCTACAATATACATATAATAGAACTATTCATTCATTTATTATTACTATCAAACTATTGTCATGAATATGCTTAGTGATAAAATATATGAAGATAGTCTGTTGATTGAAGGTAACAATATTCCTATGAGAAAATATAAAACACGAAAGAACTCATGGTTAAAACAATGTTTCTCTAAATGTTTTATTCTACAGAAGTTACATAATCATATTCATCTTATTTATAATACAATTCAATGGAGAAAATATTTAATTAAATTAATTTATTTCATTAGTTTCTATGTCATTATTTGTATTTTATTTATTATTTATATGTATAGTTTATTTTATTTTACAATCTTAGCTGATTATCCTAAATTAACTGGATTACATAATCAATTAAAATTGAATCCAGGTTTATCTATAATACCAAATTCAAATCGTTTAACAAGTCTTATACATTTTTATACATCAAATCCTGTATCCTATTCATCTATGATAGATGAAATGACTGGATTTTTATCTTATTATCAATATCATATTATTGGTGGTATGTTTGAATCATGTGAAATTAATCCAAAATTATTAAATATGAGACGTCCATGTCGTTTTAATTTAGATTCAAGTGGTCCATGTAATTTAAAAAATGGTTATGGTTATTATGAAGGTAAACCATGTTTTATTATTAAATTAAATCGAATTTATGGTTGGTTACCAATACCATTAAATAATTATACTAATATTTTACTTAAATGTGAAGGTTTAACTAAACTTGATTCAGATTATTTAGGTAAAATATGTTATTATGATAGTGATTCATTAAAACATATCATTCATTAAATAATGATATAGATTGGTGTTATAAAAATTATGGTATTTATGATTCAATGTTTTATCCTTATTTAAATCAAGCTGGTTATCAATCACCATTAGTATTTGTACATTTTCTCAATCCTAAACGTCATGTTATTATATGGATAAAATGTTATGCATTAGCTAAAAATATTCATGTTAATATTCATTCAAATGAAGGTTCTATTGTATTTCAAATACTTGTTGATTAATTTCTAATACAAAATACAATTTCATTCATTCATTCATTCATTCATGTTTGTTTCTTTGTTTGTTTAAATGTAATTCGATATTCATTTTCATATTGAAAAAAAGTAGACAAACAAATAAACAACAAACGATTAAATTTTATAAAATCAGTTAATTATATTAAAAAAATAAACAACTAAACATTCTTATGAAAACAAGATTGGTTCCAATCGAGAATGAAACCTGCAATTCATGTTTTTTTGTGCTTATGCATTCACAATTTGTTTTTATTGTTGTTGTTCTTGTTGTTGTTGCTATCGTTATTGTTCTAATTGACAAATTGTCTGAATGTAATTATTATTACTATTATTATTATTGTTATTATTAAGTGTAATATATTGGATAATACATGTATTTTTTTGAAATAACTATTTATTCTATTCATTAAAAATTCAGTAGTTCATTTAAAAAAAACAATATTTTTGATTATTTTTTTGTATTTGTTTTGCACATTTAAACAAATGGTTATGTTCAATGTACAGTGTATGTTTTTTTCATTTTGTAGGAGTAATATATATATATATCACTTGATTTTAAACAAAAAAAAAACAGTATCATGAATGAAAGAATTAAATAATTTACGTGATTTTTATTTTATATTGAATTATTATTAGAAAAAAATGAGTAATTTTTTCTTTGTTTGTTTGTTTGTCATTGTTTCATTTGAAAATTATGAATATTGGTGAATAGGGAAGCATCATCTAAAGATATCATCTATTTCCCATTTAAGTTCATATCTTCCATTTTAGAAATAAAATCAAAGACATCTTTCACGCTTCTGTTGACGACTAATTTGTGTAAAGGATTTAAAATTCGAACTAACCACTTTAAAGTTTTATGATAAGGTGAATTATACATATCTAGAACTGGGCGAAGAGGAAGACCTGTCTTGTGAACTTTAATAAAAACCATATAGGAATATATATCATATACTATATTATTACTATCAAACTATTGTAATGAATATGTGAATATGGGAATATTTCAAATTATGAATATACAATTCGTACGGGATGATTTTCTTTCTTTATATTCAAATGTTCGATTGTTTGATTAATCTCTGGTAGTCATTTTATTATTCTACTGTTATGTAATGTAAATTTATAATAATCATATTGTTAGTACTTAGTAATTTGATTAAATGATAACAAACGTATTTGTTATTGATAATACGGAGACTAGCAGATAATTGATTTGGAATACATTACAATCCGACTAGAATCTTATAATCTATATCTTTTATACATTTTTAAAATGAAATGTATCACTACTCATGTCGATAAATATCTCTATCTTAATTATATGCAACAATTCAGTAGTATAATCAATCTCGCTTGATTAAGTTAAACATCACTGACTCATTGTTAATAAATTGTGCTTCTTATAAAGCTACGATTAGTTTGTATTTATCGATGTATAGATATAGCGTTTTCATCATAAAGCATTTTAAATGACCATAACAAGAGTTATATCTTTAATAGTTGAGGTGATGAAGCAATTGAAGTTAGACCATTTTGGAAAAATTGAAAGCTCTAAACGACCGTTTTGTCCATGCGGTATCCGAACTCAGGACCTATCATCTTGCGTGAGAACGCTCAACCTCTAGACCATTTTCTTTTTTATGTTTGTCTATATTCGAGCAAAGTTCTGTGTGAATACATGCGACATGTTTTGTTTTTCAGGGCATCTGTTGACCTCTCGATAGATATCATTACAAATCAGTTGTCAAGCTGAATTTGATTGTTTAAGTATGGCACCTAGAATTTCTGTAAAATATTTTCACCCATGCTAACACACAAAAAGTAATGTTCAAACTAATGGTTTGCTTGACTTGCCAAGTTAATAGATGAATAGACACAGTAAACAACTAGTACTCACATAAGCAACTGATTCAATGTACTGAGCACATTTCGACTTGAGGAGAATATTATTCAATCCATTCTATGAAATGTGAATTTCGAAGTCCTTCAACTATACGTAATGACAAATATTTTAAGTAATAAAACTTATCATAAAATTTATAAGAGATTTCTCTTTTAAATTTCCTGGAGCAACACCTAACTCACAGAGAAAGAAGAATATCTAGTGAATAGTGACTAAAATAATGGTAAGATAAAATTAAACAGAAACAACAAACAAACAAAATATAGTCGTATTTCATATTTGATAAAACGCCAAATTTGATAAATCACTTAGTACAATAGATGGAATGTGGTTATTAGTGGAATCAAAAATGTTTTTTCTTTTCTATTTGGGACTTATAAGCTGAAAATTGGCTATAATGAGATAATCAGCGAAGGATACATAAACTACCAATTAAGACTGATCTGAGATGGTGGTTAGAGGTAGTTGACAAGGAACCATAGGTTTCGTGTTATTTGTCACTCGTCAGCAGTGTATGTATGTAATCTTGGAGAAAGTGATGCCACCCTGAGGGATTCAATCTCATGTCACCATGCTTCACAGTCAGAGAATTTAAAATTGATCTGTACTTAGCAGAACATGACACATATGACAGTGGTCACTATACAGTGATCATTCAATTGTAGGAATGACCTAAATTCAGTCAAAAATTTCAATTATGGGATAATTCAATACATTACAAACTAAATTAAGGAAACTGTTATGAATCAGGTAGAATGACAGTTTGTATATTTAAAGCTGAAAAATACGATGAAAATATTTACGACTGAATTGCTTCACAGAATTATTCGCATCGAGTGCAAGTAATTTAATAACGATATCATATAATTAAATATGTCAATTTATTTCCAGTTTGACTGTTAACTCAGCATTAAACCTAAAAACGTGCATGTTTTATTTTGTGTTGTATTTAAATTTATAGCACCATCAACAACACCATAGATTGATCTTAATTCTTAAGATGCGTGATTTCACCAATCAGTTCAAAATTGACAATAAATGGCTCAAAATTCCCAAAGTTAAGCTTTTTCCATGAGACCTGATGGTCCTAGTTTCAATCAACAAAAGATTCTTGAATGCCTTCTACCAAAGAATGTCATACCAAGATGAAATAGCCACCAAATGCTTTTTAGTTTCCAATAGTTGTCTAACAGAAACCATTTCATGATGTAAACTAAGAAGTTCAACCAACATTATAGATCTTTGGGAGTTTTATTTTCGTCTCCTAAAGTAGTAATTTACAATGTCCATGCATTCATTCAAACAATACTGCCCATTGTTATTTATATCATCTATGTATTAGGTAGCTACAATTTGACGTCAATGTAGGACGATTAGGAGAGATAGAGAGAAATAAATGTTTAAAATTACTAAATACATTATCAGAAAGCTGTTTAGTTTTCCGTTTTGTTCAAACTTTGATTTTGTCCTTGTACTCAGTGAAACCTGAAGGTGATTTTTTTGTATCAAGAAAATATTATTGTCGTTATGTCATCTAGTATAAATAAGTGTAAGTCATAGGAATGACTACAATTTGGTTTACATTTAAAAAGCATTAATTAAAAGATATTGATAAGAATTTATGAAAATTTTTTATGTTTGACAAAACTTACTCATTGACAGATTTGTATTTATATTTGTACATGCATATGTATATGTGTGAGTGGATTGGATAATGCTGGTCAGTGGCCTATGCTCCATTAGGAGTAACAGGCGTAAGTAAATAAGTAAGTCTTGTCAAAAACATAAAACCATTGCATTTTCAAAATACAATGTTATTAGTTTATTTATTTGAATAATTAACGGTTTGTTTTAGATATGAAAACATTTGCAATAAACTGATAGGTTTCAGAGGTCATACCCTATTAGAGCCGGTGGATATTTACAGTCAGATAGAATACAACAGCATTAAATTAGAAAACATGGAAAGTTTTTTTTACAAAATCAACAGATTTTACACCTATCAACATACGTTAGCAGAATTAAAATCAAATTGACTCTCTCAATAATCAAAAATACCTTTGAATATAACTCAAAGATTGGTAATGAAATCAATAATTACCGATAAAATAATTTCATTTAAGCAGTTTCAGCGGTTGAATTTTATTCATTTCAGTAGTGTGACGATCGGTAACAAGTTACTTAAAGTTGGATATGTGAACTATCAATCTTAGACTCAACGATATAAAAAAAATTATGATTTCATCAGAAAAGAAAGGCGTTGGATCCGATCCCATATGAGATCTTTAGTGTACAGAACTGAAGGATCTCAAACTAGGTCACAATAACTGCCTAGTTCTGTGTTACCTTGAAATTACGACATACTTACTTATTTACACCTGTTGCCCCTCGTGGAAGAGCATAGGCCGTCCACCGGCATTCTCCATCCAACTCTGTCCTGGGCAATACTTTCCAGTTCATTCCAGTTGCTATTCATCCTTCTCATGTCTGCTTCTAATTCCCAACGTAATGTGTTCTTCGGCCTTCCTCTTTTCTGCTTCCCTTCAGGATTTAAAGTTAGGGCTTGCCTCGTGATGCAGTTTGGTGGTTTCTGTAATGTATGGATAGTTGGTGGGTGGGTGTGTGCTGGTTCGCTCTCTCCTACAGTAGGCGGTTGCTGATGGTATCCGGTCAACGAACATTCAGTATTTTGCGTAGACGATTGTTTATAAATACGTCTACTTGTTTGATGATGGTTGTGGTAGTTCTCAAAGTTTAAGCTCCATAAAGCAGAACCGTCTTGATATTCGTATTGAAGATTGTGACTTTGGTGTTGTTTGACAGTTGTTTTGAGTTCCATATGTTCTTCGATTGTAGGAATGCGGCCTTTGCTTCGCCAATCCTCACCTTAACGTCTGTATCGGATCTTCTTTGTTCATCGATGATGCTTCCGGCGTACGTGAAAAAGTCTACATATTCCAGAGCTTCTACATCAAGTGTGGCTGGATTGATGTTCTCTGTGTTGTATTTGAGGACCTTGGTTTTCCCCTTGTGTATTTTGAGGTCGACTGATGCAGAGGTTGTTGCTACACTGATTGTC